GTTTAAGATATCTTATGTTATCTTATGTATATCTCACTGTATAAGATATGAAGAAAACTACATGGAAAACTTCTGGCATTAGGGTCATGAGGGATTTTCACAAAAAATGCAAAGAACATAGAAATGTTTTCTCTCTACCCTCTCTGGAATAATCACATTGGATATTGCATGGAAAAGCATTCATTTAGATGTCAGAGAGATGATGTTTTTAATTTGATGTCACTACATTTCAGAATAAAACTTTCTGTGACACCTGCCAACTTACCTAAAATGTGAAGCTTCAGTAATTCACCTAGGAAAGTGCTTCTAAGGTTTCTCAGCTAAAGAAAGCAGTGAAAAAACAAGCTGAACTCTAATGCAAGCAATTCTTATTCCTCTGGAATTGTAGGAGGAGTAAATAAAAAGGAATATCTACTGCAAGGGTAATAAGCATTTCAGGGAAAATGGGTAAATATGGAGCTGAAAAATCTGAAAGGAAAAAAAAATACAGTTATTTTCAAAATCCTGCTCAACTTGCACAAAGCAATTGCAGGGAATATGAATTCAGCTCCCTTTTGCAGGCTGTAGTCCCTGCAGGACCAAGCAGCCCCTGCTCTTTACCTCTGTTCCGGTACTTATTGTCCAGAACCTTCTGGCCAGCACAAGGATAAACCTCTTGCATGAGATTTCCCCAGACATTTGTCTTTCTTCCTTCAGCGACATCTGCCCTGATCTGCTCCTTTTCCTCCATAAGCAACACTTTCTCAGCAGCATGGATGAGCACCTTTTGCATTCCACAACTCCCACTCAGGAAATCTTGGTTGGCATCTGATCTTCATTGGAAACTTTGGCCTCACCTTTTAGGACTCTCCTGCAGCTCAGTTTCACATGTGCCTTGCAGTGGCTGGGGGATGCCCTGAGCACACCTGTACCCCTCACCCCCTCAATACTTTAATGCTGTGCAGCCAGCTTCTAACAAAGCCTGTGAACATTCTCTAAGAGCCAATATGGCTGTTAACAATTCTTTTTCCCTCCCATTATGGACTATTGACACAGCTGTTCTCTTTCATCACTCACACTATGGAGAAGAAGTATAATTTCCACATGAAAAGAACATTAATAAAATTTTCACCTCTCCTCACAAAACTGCTCTCCCATGTTAATGATCTGCAGGGAGAGATTTGATCAAGTGTCAGTGCTTGCAACATCTGGAGCTTGGGAGATACAGGGATCCCTCCCCAGGCAGCTTGGAAGTGATGGGCAGGACAGCATGGGAAGAGGAAAGTCTGGGAATATCTCCTGCAGCTCAGGGCCTGGCAGTGCAGGGCTTTTTGTGGCTTAAAACCCAGGGGTGAACTGAGAGGTGCTGCAAGCCAATGCTCAGTTCCCGTGTCTGGCTTGCCTTGTGATGTGGGGGCTGAGCTTCTCCCTGGCAGGAGGGTCCTGGGGCTGTCTCAGGAGACAGGGTGAGGACCTGAGCTGTGTCAGGAGTGGGTGCTTGGCAGCAGGAGGAGCTGCCCAGCTCATGGTCACCATGGCGAGGCCGGGCCTGGCCATCAGGCAGCTCATGGTCACTGTGGCAAGGCCACAGTCACTGTGGTGAGGCCAGGTCTGTCTCCCACACAGCTCACGGTCACTGTGGCAAGGCCAGGCCTGGCCACAAGGCAGCTCATGGTCACTGTGGTGAGGCCAGGCCTGTCTCCCACACAGCTCATGGTCACTATGCACGGTCACTGTGGCAAGGCCAGGCCACAGCTCTGCTTCTACAGGAGGACGATCCAAGGGCCTCCATGCATCCCACTCTGCCTTCACTCTCACAGAGCATCCCTTCAGTCCTGGGCACTGCCCTGTCGCACTCAGTGCAACATCTGAGTCTCTGTCCCCAGGCTGGGGTAACGTTCTGCATCCCCCATCTGCGGGAGCAGGGCCGAACCGGCACCATTTCCTCAATATTTTATCAGACTTTGTATTTTTAAAAGATGAGAATAATATTTCTCTTTGCCTGTGTCGTGAGCGTTCTGGGTGGGTTTGCAGCAGTGCTTCTGGGAGAACATCCAACGTCCTCTGCCGTGTTTGGAAAGGGTGGCTCCCGCCAGCCCTGTGTTGATGACATTGGCAGCTGCGGCAGATTTGGCCCACGGACCTTGTTCTCCTTGCTGATTTTCATCCCATCTCTCGTGGTTTTTTCCACTCGACCTCCTCCCTGCAGGACAAAGACAATCATCTCCCTGGCTGCTCATTGCGGTTCCCTCGCTGTCCCCCCAGCAGCTGGTGCCACGTGTCCCCAGCTCAGCCACCACGGGCTCTGTTTCCAGCGCTGCCACCGGCCGAGGGACACGGGGAGCTGCTCCTGTCCCCATCCCTCCCCAGCCGGGAGTCTCCTGCTTTCAGCAGCTTTTTGCAGGGCCGGGAAGGTAAAGCACAGCCTCTCCCCAGCCCAGGGCTGGTTGGGAATGGCCCAGTCTCAATCTCTGGCTATAATGGTGTGGAAATGCTCCTGGGCTGGAGGCTCACAGCAGTCAGAGCAGCCTCATCCAGGCAGTGGCTCAGCAGGGATGCACCGTCCCTGAGGCTCTGCGAGGAGGCAGGGAACAAACTCTGGTGGAGAATGTGCAGCCTGCCCCTCCTGTTTGCTTCTCTCCCCCTCCTGTTTGCACCAAGAGGGGGAGAGAAGCAAAAGAGAAGCTGCTCTTTTGCAGCCTTGTTCATGGCCCGTCGCATGCACTGAAAAAGGCATGGCAAAAAGAGCAGAAGAATTACAAGCCCTACTAAAATGTAAAAAGCTGTTTTCAAAAGTTCCTTCCACAATGGTGGAAGGTTAAAGAAATCAGACAAGCCATCCTTCTGAGTTCCAGTGCAATTGCCACAACGAGGAGCAGCAGGGAAGGATGGAGATGTGCTCCCTGCAGGTACAGTGCAGGGAGGAACACCAGGAAAAGTGGAGTAGCTCCTACACCAATGGCTCTGCAAGCCCCCTGTGAGAGCATGAACATGCTGCCTTCCCCAGAGGCTGGAGTTTTTGTGTCCAGGCAAGCACACATAGGGTGTCCAAGCCAGCCCTGACCACGTCCATGCTGGTGGCAGAAGTGTCCTTGCAGCCTGATTGCTCATGGGGCTCCTGGCCACCCCTGTCAGACCTGTCTCCACTGGTGTCAGTGCCTCTCACGATAGACATGAGTCAGACAAATCTTGGAGGGACCCACCCTGCCCTTTTCCCCACCCTGAGCTCTACAAATACACAAAATTTGAGAGCCAGATTTTGTGAGCAGAAGAGAACAGAGAGCCCTTCAGTATAGAAAAAAAAATCACAATTAGTCAGCATAGAAGTAAATTATTTTTTCAGTTCAGACTGCAGCTGCAAAGATGGCTTTTCTCCCTGGATTCCTCCAGTCCAGCTGTGTCTCCCTGCATGGAGACCAGTGCTCCCTGGGGATCAGCCCTCTCTCTTCATCACCTCCAAGGCTGGACTGTGTGCTATCCCTGTCTGTATCAAGCAAACAGAAAATTCTCTGCCCTGTGCCTTCCCTTATAAAATTTATAGGAGTGTAACAGGGGAACAGACAGCTCCCTATGAAAAGACCATGAATCTCCTGTCATATCTTTGCTGCACCTGAGCACAGATTTAGCCTGATCCCTCCTGGTGACTGAGTCTCCTCATCAGTGTAAGCAGTTTCCTGCATTTGCTGCTGCTGTGAAAGCACCTAATTCTCAGATGTTTGTATTTCCCACTACAGCAAACCCAGCTGCTTTCTTTTCCCACTTTGGCACTCAGAGCTGAACCAATCTATTGCCCAAGCAGCTGAAGTCAGCATTGCTGTCCCCCTGTTTGAGGGCTAGCCACTTCTTGCCAACTGCTCAGAGCAGCTCAGCACCTCCAGGCTCATTCCCATTTGATGTGCAACAGCAGCAACACTGAAAGTCCCAAATCTGTCCTTCAGAACTGTGGAGGTGGCTTGGAAAAGTCAAGATATGCTACACTGGGTGTGATTCAAAGATACATTTAAGTTCTTTTAAGTTTCATTTAAAAAGAAATGAAGCTTCTGCATCCAAGACCTGAGATTTTAAGAAAACGATGAATATTAAAGTCACAAGACCTAGCAAGGCTGTCATTATTAACAGCTATTTTCTGAGAACACCAAATGGCTGAGCAGCCAAAGGCCATGTTATGAGATCTGTGCAGCAAAGACATCACCCTACTCACAAAAACATGTCTTTCATAATTCCTTTTTGTGTGCCAGTTGGAAGAATGCTCTTGTAAGGAAGATACCTGGATTGCTCTACAGCTCAGGATCTGATTTCCAGCTCTGCTGTGGTTTTTATCCTTGGGCTCAAAGAACTGGTATTCAAATGCTCTCTGCTTCAGTTTCCCCATTTGAAAAGAAAGGAAGCCACTGATGTCTCAAGATGGCCAAGATTCTAGAACTTTCTTTTCTTTTATTCAAGTTTCCAAAGAACTTAGAAAAGTCACATAGACAGAACTGTAAATTACAAAGCATTCTTTTTAAATTAACTTTGTCTTGAACCAAACTCTCCTCTTTGACTCACAGTCCTTAATTGACACTGGCACGTTCTTTCCTTCATGCCTTTAATTGCTTCAACATAAATTAATTAAAATGTAAATTAAATGATAGCTTGAGGGGAGATTGCAATTACCATAATTTCATCTTTCACTGCTACATCCAGTGGTACCAACAGGTCTGTGCAACAGGTATTCCAATTAATAGCAGACAATAAAGATGTCTGCAATCACTTCCCTCTCTGCTGCAGGTTATTCAGTAAATGTTGTCTTGCACAATTAGTATATGATTATCTATCCCTAATCTCCAGCTCCATCAGATTGAGAAGTGAGAGGATGAGGTCTTCATTCAGCAAGAAAAAAGGAGAAATATGCCCAAAACATTGGGCAAACCTTTAAGGAACTTTACAAAATGTTTTCCATGTGATAAACAGATTTTTGTTGAGATAGTTAAATGAAGCAGAATATTTAAAGTTTTTGTTTTTAACTGTGCCTTCATCAGGGTCTACCTGAGAATGGATCAGCCTCTCCACTGTCATTGTGTGTTCAGAGCCTTCGAGGTCAGAATGTCTTTAGGCTGAAAATACCAAGTGTTATAAAGAATGTCAGTAATTAACTTGATTATTCCAAATCTGAAGACAGAGATGGGAGAGTCACGTTTGTGCTTGCTTACCTAGAAAATGAAAACAAATTATTTCTAACAGTGACATGAAGAAAAATCACCAGGGCATTTCCAACAACTCTGAAATAAGTGCAGTTTATCAACAGCCATCATAAAATGCATCAGTTTGTTTGAAAAGAAAAGGTAGTGGAAACTCAAGTTGTTTATTGTCAGAAAAGCCCAGAGCCTATGATCTTCACTGTCTGATAAGCCCTGGGAACAGCCACAGATCTGGCAGTGAGCCTTCAGCAGGGCAACAGCCACAGCCAGGGCACTGAAATTGTGTTACTCAGGGCCACTCAGGTCCTGAATATCTCCAAGGACAGAGACACCACCACCTCCCTGAGCAACCTCTTCTGGTTTCCAGTCACAGTCAAGGCTGAAATAATGGGAGAGTGGGAAGAAACAGCTGCCTTGTGTCCAAGACATGAAGAATGATAGAATCACAGAACAGTTTGGGTGGGAAGAGGTCTTAGAGATCACCTTGTTTCAACCCCTGCCATAGACAGGGACCCCTTCCAGTAGGCCAGTTGCTTCAAGGCCCATCCAGGTTGGCCTTGAACGTTTCCAGGGATGGGACATGACAGCTTCTCTAGGTAACCTGTGCCAGGGCCTCACCATGCTCACTGTAATGAGTTTCTTCCTGTTTCTATGTGGCAAGAGGGTCTTGAAATCTTGCCACCCCCTCCAGTCATCCTTGGAGCCAGGGAAGTGTGGTGAGTGTTCCCTGTGGGATGTGGGCTGTAGGCACAGCTGCAGCCTCTGGAGCAGGGCATGCAGGCAGCTCCAGCCACATCTGCAATGGCTCACCCAGAATAAGCCCTCAATGTCTCTGGGTGCATGTGGAAAATCAGTATTTGTGCCATGGTGCTACCTACATATGCTGCAATTTGTCCAGTTCCTGCAGCCAAACAAACCTATTTTTGTCGGGCTGCTGAAAACATGGCCCTTAATTATTGCCTTCAGCAGGGAGAGGGATTATCCAGCAGATGAGAGAAGCAGCCTTGCTGCTCTCTGGGATGACACATTGGCCAGCTGAACTCCAGTCAGCAGTCCTGCTCTGAGTCACAATTTGTGCCCTCTCCAAAAGTAATAGTGCTGTCTTTTAAATTTATGGAAGAGTTTATCCCTTGTACTTTTGTAATCAGTTCTTTCTTGGCTCTTTGCATGAAATGTTAAGGAAGAAAAAAAAAAAAAGGATTGGCTTTCATCCTGTGGCATGGTCACTGAAAATTCTTACTGCTGCTATGGTATGAAAATTATGTATCTAGTCCTACAGAGATGGGACAGAAAGCAACAGAGGGCCTCAAACCTGTCTGTGTCACCCCCATGAGAAGCAGAACCAGACTGAGGAGATACAGCCCATCAGAAAAACCTGCCCAGGGCAAAGGAAGGCAGGAAGAAGGGAGATTATCAACCCTTTTCAGATGGTGAATGTGTTTAGGCATTGCAAACTCAGAGCAGAACATCTCCTTTTTCCAGCCTTTTAATGCATTTTGCTTTTGCAGTGCTTTCCCTTCTCCCCTGGTGCTTGCTCTTGGCTACTGAATGACATTAATGTTAGTTTTTCCTAACTAGGATTCTTCTCCTTGTGCCCCTGCACAAGAGTGGCTCCACACATGCCCTAAAAAAATCAGCAATTTTTGTTTACACAGGGTTTTTTTTCCATTCTTTAACTTTTTCAAATTGAAGTCTTGAAAGCTTAGACAGTGGAAAAAGGAAGATTTGGAAAAAATATCTGAACATTCTACTTTCCCTGGCAAGCATATGGAGGAAAAGTTGAGAGGAGGTGGTGATGAGAGTAGGGAGTGGAAAAGAAAAACTTGACTGAAAGGAAAAAAAAAGAAGAATTTTTTATTTTGAAAATTGACAATTGGAGACAAAATCAATAGTTTCACATTTCCTGAAATTTCTCATGAAATTGCTGTTTTGCCAAAAATGAAACTTTCCAGTGAGTGCCCTCCCTTTTGTCACAGTTACTTCACAAGTATGTTTCCATTGGAAAATATATGTGTATCAAATCCAGGATGAAGAACAAACTGATGCTGGAGTGCCATGTCCAGGGCACAGGGTGGGAGTAGTGGGGAGCTGGGATAGAAAAGATTCTTATTATATTTGCAAATAGCTCCAGCATGGGACAGGCAAATCCGTGCTGGATCATAAATGAGTGTTAAGTTACCCCCTGAAAATCATTAGAAAGATAAATATTCTGAAAAAAGTAGGATGAAATTAAATTAGGACAAATTTGAACTCTCAGCTACAGGAAGGAACAGGCTTTCCTGCTTATGGGAGATAAGAAGCTACTTTGGTATCAGCTGGGTAGGAAAGGACATGAAGGTTTTAGTGGGTCACACCTTGACTGCAAATCAACATTGCTGTTGTAAAAAAGCCAGATGCTGTACTGTGACATACAAACAGGCTTGCAACTGATAAGACACATGAAGTAATTCAAGTCTGTTTAACATCAGTAAAATTTTAGCTTCAACTACTGCATTCAGCTGGGAGGCATTTTAAGGTCTTTAATTCACTGGAGGGAGTTCAGAGGAGACAACAGCTGGGGTGAGCAAGGACCCAAAACCACAACTTGACCTTGAGAAGGTCACAAGAGGTGGGTATGTTCTTCTGGAGAAGGGAAGAAGAATTCAAAGGATGTTAAGAAAAGAAAAAAGTACATTTTCCCCCATTACAGCTGTGGGTAGGACAAAAATAATGTGCTCAAGTTACAACAGAGGAGATTCACACAAAACCCAGCAGAGCTTTGGGTTGGTGCAGCTGGAGCTGCTGAGCAGAGACACGTGGGGTCTCTGTCTCTGGATATTTAACAAGAAATTGGACAAGTACTTTAAGAAATGGCACAGCCATGGCATCCAAGAAGGCATCTTGACAGTGCCCTTCCACCCAGTTTTCTGGGATTTTTAACAGTTCAGCAAGTAATGATTTTTAAAATAGCTCCCAAAAGACCTGGAGCTTCCTGAAGACGCCCAAACCCTCTCTCTTTCTGCAACCTTTTCCCACTGCCTTGTGTTTCCACTGGCTTCAGTGAAATGAGGATTTGCTGGCTGCAGCTCTTGGACCACATCAATGACTTCTCACAGTCAAACATTTAATTTACCTCCCAGCCGTGCTCAGAGCCTTGGGAGTGAACAGCTATTTTTAAAGCCACCAGTCTGCCACACTGGAACATTTGGTCGTCAGTAGAGAGTGTGCTCGAAGAAATAATGACTGCCTTTTTATCCAGAGACTATTACAACTTGTGTTTAAAGTACACTAAAAAGCATGTTTCTGTGTATTGCTATGGAAGGTATATTTAAGGCAAATGTCCCTCCAACTCTACTCAATAAGCAAAGAGCAAACAGCAATACTCCACTCCCGACATTTTAAAAGCTCTCTGATGTTCTTTTCTTCCTTTAACAATGGGGCCAATTTTCCTTTCCTGGCTGCCAGCCTGCCCTTACTTTTTCTTTTAGCATCTCTTGAAATTAACTTGACCTCACCTTTAAGCACTCCCTTCTCCAGGACACTGAGCTCAGCTGGTGTGGGAGGTGTTGCTGATGGAGGAATGAAAGAGCAGACATCACCATAAGGATGAGAATATCAGCGCTTGCTCTAATGAGGACCCAGCAACCCCCTGGGGCCATCATTAATACAGATCCTGGGTCTCTCCTCTGCTCTGTCCCTTCCTGGGACTGCAAATCTGTGATGCTTTCTGGCCATACCTCTCCACAAAGGACTGACTGACAGCTCCTGTGTTTGGGAGGGGACAGAATACAGACCACATTCAGTCTCAGGACCTTTCCAGCCATTGTCTTCATGGCACAGCTCAGTCTCTTGTTTTGCTGCTGACCTGACAGAGACAGATATGGATTGCTGCTGCCACACACATCCTCACCAAGGAGAGGGTATCCCCTTTCTCACAGCTGAAAAATAAGCAGTCTTCTCCTCTGACCTAGAGGTTCAAATGTACACACAAAAAATAATTAAGAGCCTCCCCTTGATAAAAAATAGAAAAGTCATCTACCAGCCCAAACCTGTGAGTGTGTCTGTGCCAGGGGATTGCATTCCCAGTTTGTAGGTACAGGGCCAGAACAGCTCTCCAGCTGCATCAGCTTTATTTCAGACCAGGTCTAACACAAGTTTGTCACTGCCCAGGACACCTGGGCGATGGACTTTGAGACCAGGAGCAACCAGCCATGCTCTACCTGTAACTGCTTCAGTAAATCACTGCACTGAGCTCATCTTCTCATCAGTAAGCCCTGACAGAGCTAAAAAAAAAAAAGGCTTCTGAAAAAAAATGGCATAGCCCTGAAGCTGGTGAAAGACTTCTCCTTTACCATCACTGTGAATGAAAGTCTCTCTTTCTCCCTCTGACAGCAAACACCCCTGAACCAACCCCACCAGCACAGCTCAGTCATGCTACAGCAAAACTTCCCTCTGGGGCAACCATCCCCACTGGCTCCTAGCCTGATTTTTGGGCCATGCCTACACTTGAAAGACAAACCAGATTCAAGAAGGGTGCTACTTGTAAGTGCAATCCCCATTCTTAAATATCTCAACTCATCTCAAGTGTCTTATGTTAAAACAAAACAGAACATTCAACACAGAATAAAATGTCTCATACATAAAACCAGGTAACTGCTATGGAAAAAGCTTTTCCTGGGTAATTCCAGACCAGCTCTGAGCATACCAGTGGCCTTGGAAAATGGCACATTTGTGAGGTGTCAGGAGACCCAGCCCATATCCATGAGACTGAAGAAACTTTGTAGGCCTGGAGGAAAAAGGTTCTGCACCCTGTTAACTCACAGCAGTGCACTTCTGAAGGCTCTCTCCTCAGAGTAATTAGCAATTCCCACCTTGTCAAGGCTCAGACAAGTCAGGTATTCATTTATTTGAACATCCTGGCCCTTCTGAATTACAGCCTAGGGACATTGTCTACAGGCAGCTCCTATAGCTGGTTCACCTTCCAGCTGGCTCAAAGGAGGAAGGAGAGCTGGAAAAGCAGCAAAGCCACTTTGCTTCAGCTGGTTCTGCAGCTGTGGTGTGCCAGCAGTGGGACCAGGGCTAGCTGCCTCCTTTCTAGTGGGAAATCCCTGCAGGTGTGGCTGCCATGGATTTGGGGGAACTTTTGGAGCCAAGTCAGCTGCAGAGGGTCTGTATCTGTGCTCCTGTGAGATGTGAGCCAGCAGCCAGCACAGCCATGAAACCACAGACAATGATGGAAGAGGAGAGAGGAAAGAGACAGAGATGCAGACAGGACTTTCCCAGCTGCAGTCACTTTGCCATGCCCTCAGCTCTCATGGTGTGCAAACACAAACACTGCCCAACATGCACAGGGGCAGTAGTGCCACAGATAGGAAGGAGGCAGACAACCCTGAGAGACTGGCAGATCCACACAGGATGTGTGCTGTGGGGTAATGTTACACCGTGGGTGACAGCAGAGACATGTTTTGAGGAGATTTGAGCAATGAGACTTCTGTAGGTTGATGAATCATCTCTCTTTCCAGTAGACAGAGGCAACACCCCACTCCTGAGAGCTCAAATTAGGGCTGAGAAAATAGCTGAGGGTTTTTGGCTTTAATCCCAAATCAAAATATTTTAAGAAATTAGGACAACCCAAAAAAATTGTTATTCTTTTGGGCTAAGTAGGCTGGGTTGAGCCACCCATCCCTCTCCTTCTGTGTGGTGATACTGCAGAAATATTTGTGTATAGAAGCGCTTATTTTGGTTCGCTTGAAGAAAAAGGAAAGAAAAATTAAAGGAATAAAGAAAAAAAAGGGCTGTCTTCCCCCTTGCTACCAATAACTTCAGGAGACTTCCCTCCCTGAGCTCTTCACAGAAGGTGGTTGGTGTCCTGGAGCTCTTGGCCCTATCAAGATGTTACCAGAGTGCAGATCAGTGTCAGGAGCACTCGAGGCAGGGCTAAACTCACAAGTACACAGAAAGTAAAGGCAACCTTGTAGGGCACCCAGAGAAGGGGAGAAATTGAGACTGAGCCCATGCCTTAAAGGAGGCCCCTGCTCACTGATCCAAAGACCAACAGGGTTTGTACTGCCATGACCAGGAGCCATCACAAGGGGATGATACAGGAGCACTGCTGTGAAGAAGTCACAATTGAGACACCTGACACCTTGTCAGTACTGAGCAGGAAACCAAAATTCTTCTTCACAGCAAACATCCTATTTAAAAATCTCAAAAATAGGCCAGATTTCAATCAAAAATGTGAGTCAAATTCTCAAGAAAGAATTTTAAGGCATCTGTTTTGATATAAAAGCCAAATATGAGAACAAAGCCCTTCTGATCTCTTCTCTATCCTCAGCAATTTAATTCAAGTAATAGCAGTAAGATTATCAAGATATAGTAATTAAAAAAAACTTTTTCCTGCAAAAAAATTAATTTTTTCTTGTGGAAAATCATCTATTAGTACTTTTTCCAACTTGGTCTAGAGCTAGGAGTTATTTGGTGTTTTCTGTGATGAACTGGGAGCCCATGACAAATGCATGCATATGACCAAGTCCACAGGATAATATTACTAGGAAGTGGGAAAAACAGTTACAATTTTTATTTGTTTTATCATGACTTCTGGTTATTTTTATGGAGTAATAGGATGCTGGCAACATTAATTTTTTTTTAAACATTATTAAAGCAAAATTCAGAAAACAGTCCTTAACTGGTATTTATTAAAAGTTGTTTTAAGTTTCTCATTTAAACTGTGATTGAGTTTTCAAATTGAGGTCTCTCAAAAGGGAAAAAAGCTCTTTAAAAGCTATTTACATTGTTTTCAGAGAAGTGTGATTTCTACCTTGTCAGCAGGCCCTTATGCTCTCAGGCAAGGCTTGCTCCAGTTGGAGCTTTTCAGTCCTGTCACTTCAAGATTTAAAAAGGGCAGTTTCTTCCCTTTTCACCATTCCAGTTGTGGCAAGGGATGGCTAAAACTACAGGAACAAAATAATTTTTCTTCTACAACCCATTATACTCTGGTGCAGGAGAATGGTGTGAGGAGCACAAACAGCTTAATGCCTTCCCCTAAAGTGTCCCACTGCTTTGGTTAAATTTATTGACCCCTCTGAGACCTTTTTAACTGCAAATCTATCACCTCCTCTTCTCCCAAGCATTGCTGCTCCCCTTAGATACCTTGAATGGTCCCTGCACCTCCTCCCTGGGCACCAAAACTCCTTCCTGACCCTTAATTTCCTCACCTGGAACCCCCATCCACACTCTGCCCAACCTGGCCTCCTTGGTGTTGCTGTGCTTGGGTCTGCCCATGGGTGCCACAACCATCTGTCCCTCTTTTGGGTCCTTGGGGAACCACTTTGGGGAGGCCACATCCCAGCTGGGGCCATCTCAGCTCCTGGCTCCTCTCCCCTCGCAGGCAGCCTGGCCCTGGCTGCCCCCAAACACAGGGAACACATTAGGAATGCCTTTCTGTCAGGAAACTGCCATACACAGCACCAATACAGTCTGAGTTACAGATAATTTTGAATTGGAGGAGAAAGGAAAAATATTTAGCAAAATTATGTAACTGAAGTTCAAAAATAGCCTATTGCCATCTGGTTGAGCTATTTTGACAACCAAAAAAACCCTTAAGTCTTTATAGAGCTAGATATACTGTTTGCAAACTCAGCCAAATTTTTTACAAAATCTCAAATTTCACATGCTTGATTTACCTCTGGGGTTTTTTGAACCAGCTTTGCCTGTGCACAAGCCATGCCCAGTCATACATCTCCATTCCAAGTCTGCCATTAATATTAAAATGCTCTGTCACATTCCTGTAAAAGCAAGTACAAAATGTCAAGAGACTGCAGAAAAAAACCCCCAAATTTCAAAAAGAGTAAAAAATAAAACAAAATAATAAAAAAATTAAAATGCAACGCTCTCAAACACTGTGGATTAATCCCCAACTTGCTGCCCTGCCTCCACTGGCCATCAGGAAACAGCTATTTTAGCAGCCCAAGTTGTAATGGAAACATCATTCTCAAGCTGTTCCATTTGCTAAAGCAACTGGGAATTGCAGAGAGCCTGAAACAGTGCCCAGACATAACCTTCCCTGTTAACCAGAGGACAAGTTGGTGCCATCTGCACCCAGCTGGAATGTCAGCAGGGAAGGGAGCATTGCCCTAAACTCCCCCGGGCCGCAGGATGGGGACAGAGCAGTGTGACAATGTGCCAGGAGCTGTGGTCACCCAGCCTGTCCCAGCTCAGCCACACAGCAGCACTGCTTAGGTCTGCCATTCCAGTGACTGCTGACCTTACCAGCAAATCCCAGGAAACTGCCTTCCCACACTGCAATTGAATCTCAGAAGTTGTGCCTCAGTGAAAGCGACTTGTGTGGAAACCTTTAGAATTCAGCATCAGTTGTGTATTCTCCAGTACATGGAAGAAAATAAAAATGCTTTCAAATGGATTCCCCTGTCATCTACCCTGAACCTGGCCCCTGCAGCAGGGATGAGGGGCAGCAGCCTCCCTGCTCAGCTCTCAGACTTGCCCCCACAGTGCTGAGATAATGATTTCCTCAACCCATACAGCAGGGAAAGACTCTTTCCCTTCAGCAGTTTTCTGTGCATTGATTGCCTTTCAGCCTGATTGCATGAGGTTAATTATCCCTGAGCTGCTTCCCCTGCACCACCTGGCACCACACACCTACTGCCTGCCCTGGTGCTTTGCAGTCCTGAGCCCTTCTCACACTTGCCTTCTCTAGGGACATGGGGTGGTCTCAGCTACACCTCCGTCACCTCTGCAGACATCATCCACATCCCCTGGTGCTCACAGGTGCCCAAACCTGGCCTGAGGCAAAGCCAGGTACCCACCCATTTGACTCCAGGAGCCTGACTGAGGTGGCAAGGTCAAGATGGCAATTCCAGCTGACAAGAAGTTTTAAAAAAGAACAAGGTTTTATACTGGTATTTCTGACAACAAGCACTAAGCAGCATTTTTTGTTTTAAACTGATTTTTTTTCTTGAAAAGAGAAAGTCAAGAGGTGACGAATGACATGGTCAGACAGAAGTTGCCCTCCCTCCATCTGTCTCCACATCATGCAGCCTTCACAGTACATCACCCTAAAGGCAGAAGAGGGGAGAATCTGAGTTACTCAATCAAATATTAAAATTAAGCAACCAAGAACTGACAAAGCACATAATGTGCTCATGGAACACCATCTTCCCAGCAAATGCTCCACTGCTGGTGGGGATTATTAGAATTTTTGATGAAGTTTCTCCTTTGGTCCAGGACAAAATCTCCCATCAAAGCCAGAGAGCTTGGTTACTTCTCAGAGCTTTCTAGTCCCCTCTGCTTTTAAAGGGCTTGATTTTGTTTCAGAAGGGCTTCCCTCTGGTTTCAGGCCAGCTGGGGTGCTCTGTACACCAGCCCCATGCTCTGTCAGCACTGTGTACAGCTCTGTAAGGCACCAGCAGCTCCTGTGTGTGTAATTAAGATAAAGGAGCAGCAGTTAACAGGGCAGAGGTTAATGGCAATTCAATTCACAGCACACCACGGGCAGTGTGGTGAGAAATGCAGCCACACACTCATCCATCACCTCCAGACCGCTCCCAGGGAAGGTGGATGTGCAGAGATCCTGTCTTCCCTCAACTGCTTTGGGTGGTTCAGGATGGGGGCTGAGCAGGGCACCACAGCCAGAGTTAGGGCTGAGCAGAGGGGGATCCCTCTCTCTTAACCAGCTGTACAAGGAACCCTGCTCCTGCTTTGAAGACCTCAGTTTGGTGACTAATATTAGGCAGGATGATCTCAGACCATGCACAGGCTCAGTGTCCTGTCTCTCCCTCTATTTCCCAGCAGGCAGGATAGATCAGGAATCCCAACACTTAACTTGCAATCTGTCAAGTTATCCTCTACAAGCTGCTCAGAAAGGACAGGTCTCCAGTTACTGTTGTTCTAATGTAGTTACCAAGGTGATTTCCAGAGAACAATCAACTCAGGAAAGCAGCAGCCACCCCCTCCAACCTGCAAACTCACAGAAAGCATTTCTGGAGAGGGGCTTTTTGTGCAGCCTTTGTGATGGGGAAGAAAGGTCCTACCACTGGTGCAAACTATCAGTGATGGGAGGGGTTTCACCTATGCTTCCTAAAGTAATGACCTATCTGTACAGATTTGTGTGTTTAGCCTGGAGGCATTAGAGTGGCATCTGAGCTGTCCTGGGACATCCTGGATGTGAGATGTCTGTCAGGTTGCACTATTGCTTGTGGAGAGGTTGCAAATGAAGTCAAGCTTGAAGCAGGTTTCACATAGTGGGATCAAAGGGTATTTGAGGAGAAATTGGAAGAGCAGGGGATGCTGACATTTCATTTTCCAGTGAATTGGACATGTGCTGAATTCAGGTCTCTGTATTCCCCTGCTTACCAGATACTGAAGATTTCATTTCACTTTGCAGCACCTGATGAGTGTCTCATAAGAGACTGATGTATTCACAGCACTTTGTTAAGAGGTAACTGGAAATATTGCTATTTCTTGATCATCAGTCAAACTGTGGTTGCAGCTGCCCTTTGAGGCAACAGTAGCAAGACAATGAACTTGCAAAGCCAATTCATAGGAGCGAATCTGAGATTGCCCATGCAGGAATGCATCCTATGACATCCTTCAGGATGTCTAGAGACTGGAAACAAGGTGGGGGTGAGCCCAGCTCCCAGGCAAATCTGCTTTGAGTTGTCCCAGACTGTACCTGCAGCTTTGGCTGAGCAGAGACAGGTTGTGCAATGTGAGTGAGACACCAGAGCTGTTGCTCATTTGTGGCAGGTACAGTCTGGAAAGAGATAACAGCCTTCCTAGAAGCTGTGGTCTTATAGGTGAAGAAACTTGTGGACTAAAAAAAAAAAATAAATGAGAAGGTCTTCTTGGAGCTGCCACTGCCTACATGTCAATGGGAACAGACTTGGCTAAACTTCTCATGTGGGGTAGGAAAATAGAGAGCTTGGATGCTGTTAGGGGTTAGGAGCCTGCAGTGAAGTTTCCCAACTGATCAGCAGGTTTTAAGGAAAAAGAGTTTCTAGACAGGCAAAAGAACCTCTTTTAAAAAGACTGCCATTCCAGTTTCCTGCTGCTAGCTCTGGCCTGGCCTCTGCAGGCTGCTGCCCTGCACACTGCCCAGGGACCCTGGCACAGCCCCACAGCAGGCAGGGACATCACACAGGGCTCGTTCATTGTCCCAGCTGGGACCTCGCCCTCAGGCTGGCCTGGAGCCTGGCCTGGAGCCTGGGCTGGGAGCCTCTTCCATTTCCTTCTCACAGTGGAACAGGAGGCCTGCTCCCAAGCCCTGGGCACAGCCCATTTCACTCCAGCACAGCCTCTCCCTGATCCTGTCAGGAGACTGTGGGGTAGATGCTCCCTGCCTGCCACCTCCTGGGAAAGCCTTGGGAAGCCTGTCCATGCTCAACTTCAAAAAAACCCTCTACACCCACAGATTGCATGAGAAATGGTCAGTGCCTGTGTAGAAACAATGCCTGCAAGGAAGAAGCAGAGTCTTTGCTGTAGGCTGGTGTCACCACTGAGGAGTTTGTCTCAGGCTCACAAAGGCAGTATCTCCTTTGTGCCAAACATTCTGAAGCCTGGGAAAGTCCCAGTTTTGATGTCACCCTAAAGAATAGGGTGACATTGGAGATAGCTTGATACAGAGAGCTGCAGCAAGGCTGGTGGATAGAGCTGTAGCAGAGAGTTTTGGTTGCCTCTGGGAGAGTACACATTCAGGAAATATAGGCTGGGAAACAAGCTGGACTCATGCCCTGTTCTGATTCTTTGTGTATGAGAAGCTGGAAGTATTTTGTTTTCTGCTTTTCATACTTAAAAAAAAAGAATCCAACATCAAGTTGTGTTTTGGCAGCGGTCTCCTCAGAAGATCTAGAGAACTAGAGTGGGAGGTTTTGCAGCTTCTAGTGAAATAGGGAGAGGAGGAGGTGTTGAACTGCAAAGATTTTTTTTCTTCCAACTGTTGGTTGGGAGTAGAGTTAGATAAATGTTAGCTAAATACAGATTGCTTAAAACATTTCGTAGGAAAAGCAATTCAAGTTGAAATTCATCAGCTTTTACTTGCACTGTCATAATAGTATTAATTCTCCAGTGAACAAAAAACAAACAGGGCAGACTAGAGCTTAATTGCCAATGTAAAAACAAGAAACAAAACAATTTTTGTACCATCTTCACACAAAGATGACTGAGTGCCCATTTCTCCTTAACTTTGCACATTCTTTGCTACTTCTCTTACAATAAGCATAGGAGAAAGGAGTACATGGGACTTAAACTTCAACCCATTGCAGTACACAATGCCTCACCCTCTTCTCAGTGTACTCACAGTGCACAGCACCAGGGGGATTTCTGACCTGGCAGTGGCAGGGCTTTAGGAAGTACAAGTATACAGGTTGGGAAAAACTGATTTCTCAGGCCTAGAAATGCAGATGAGGATTGGGGGCTCTAGGTAGAGAACAAGGCTGAAAACTCAGCCTGTCAGAAGGTATCTCTTAGATGGAGAAAAAAGCATTCTGATGGCTATTTATGATCCTTGAACCAGTTAGTGGTCCCCTACTGACAGATCCTAAACAGAAGTCAGTATGATGAAAAAAAGCAGGCCTGGAGAAACAGACTGATTGCAGGTTGGTTTTCACTATGAACCTTCAGGAAATCCAGCTTGAGTCACCAGCAAGGTGGAGAGAGCAGTGACCTGCTCAGCACCAGGGAGCACAGCCAGGAACAGGTTACACCACACTGAGGAGCAAGGAAGGGATGAACCTATGAGGCGCCGTGGCTGGAGGAAGAGGGGACACTGCCCTGCCTCTGAGTGACACCAAGATACAAAGACCAGCAATAGGTGCAAGACCCTTGACATGGACCATGTTGTTGGAATTATCCATCAGGACCCATAAACAAGAAGGATGCAGAGAGAAAATGGAGACAAGTGCTGTCATGTCAACCAAGACTTTGTTACAGCGAGGTTCCAACACCAAACCTTCCACAGACAAGGTGAGGACAGATAGCAATGAACTGAGCAACATCAATGGGCATCAGCAACAGCACTGGGAATCACTGGCAACTTCTCACTTTTCTCCCCAAGAGAAATTAAAAATGAAATATGTATTACTAGAAAAATTCTCATTGTTACGAAGAGTTTGCATAAATGCACAAGGCAGCTCTGGACAGTGTAGCCAGGAACCCAAATGCTTCCCCTGCCCTTCAAGTAATTGTGCAAAAAGCAAATAAATAAAACTTCTAAGATGCACAAGAAAACTTGAACTCCAGCCCTCAGACAACTTATCCTCATGGAACCCAGTTCTCAATAATGGATGCCAGGCACATGCATGTGAATATTGCAGAGTTTCGTGATTTTGTGAGGACGGGAGATAAAAAGGCAAAAATTATGTCAAAATACCATAGGAGAAGTTCTCATGAAAATAAACAGACTGCTCTGAATTCCATCACTATTAGCAGAGAGAAGAAAAAGACTGATGAAAAGTATGTTCCTGATTGAAGCTGCAAAAATTCAGCTAGAGAAAAAGCTAAATGTTATTGACAGCTTTGCCCAGGAACATGAGATGGCAAGCACAAAGCAGTGTGTGATACCCTTCCCAAACCCCAAGCTGCAACCACAGTGACTCAATCATCACTGACATGGAAATACTCTATCTGTGAAGGACAAAGAATACTTTAAGTAGACCTTTTAATTCATTATGTTGAATAGATATTACTTGAATCAAAATTCATTTTTATCATCATAAAGGTAGAATCTTATATTATGAGCAAATATCACTTTAGAGGATTTCAAAGTGATTGCCAACAAAGTACAGACTTAGAGAGCAACACAACATTATACTCCTGCCATTTTCTCTCAGCAGCTATGTAGAGAAATCTTTGAAATAAAGATTCATCTCCTCAGCTGAACCTGGGAAAGGAATCTACCCCAAGGATGGGGAAATTCAAAATTTCCTCAGTAGGTTTAATCTACAGCAACAATCAGAATGAAAGTGTGCTGTTGCCTGTTCCAAGGCAATCCTTCTGGCAAACCAACACTAAGCAAAGCCCACAACACTGTCAAGAACAAGCTTCCAATGCAACTTGGGTTTTGTCCTATTCTTCCATTGACCATATTTTCCACATCTAAACAAATGGAAGAACAGCAGCTATCATGTGACAATTTCATATTGGCTCTCAGAAAGCCTTTGACAGGGGACACAAAGACTTCACATGGCAGATGTTGTCTGACACCAGAGCAGTCACAGGGAAAGTCCATCCAGCCCAATGTCCTGGCTCCAACAGCAGCCAACAAGAGATGTTTAGGGAAAGAAAACAGGCATGGAGCATGCATAGAGGGATTTATTCCCCCCCAAGGATGTCCCACTCTCATTTCCCACCCCAAACACCTAGGATTTAAGGTTTCACTGAGCCAGAAAACCACCCTCTCATTTAATTACCTTCAGTGGATTTTAATTTTCCTTGACTACCTACACACTTTGTGAGTCCCTGTAAAATTCTGTCATCTACATCCCTTGGCAACGCAATTCACAGATCAACTGTGTGGAAAACAATTAACCTCTTTTACATTCTGAGGCAACCTCTTGTTAATTACACTTGATGGTCTTCAGTTCTCACACTGACAAGAGAAAGGGTATGGCCCTCACACATTCAACTCTCCCATTGCCTCCTGTGATTTCATAGACCTCTCCTATACTCCCCATTTCTCTCTTTCAGGCTGAAGATTTGTGATAAGCTGGAAATATTTAGTTATCTAAATCTAGAGGAACCATGCAGACATCTAGAAATGTTCAGTGCTACTACTGTGTAACAAGACCAAATGCTTCTTCCCTGTGCTGGAACCAATACTCACTCCTTGGAAGGAATTGGTCTTTCTCATGGAAACTGCAGTTCCAGGTTTGGAACAGTGATCTGGGCTTATCTAAAAACATTTATGTCCTGAGTGATAAACAGGATGCAACAGCATACCAACAGCCTAGTTTGAAACCAGCCAGCAGCAAACAAAATCTTAAAATCAGAGGGGAAAAAAGTCAGTTTGTCCTCAAAGGACCTCCTAGAAACACGATTCTTGAGAGTTTCTGATGCATTTATTTAGCTTTGCAGCAGTTTTCCTAAATCTGGTAGCTTCATCCACTGCAGATAGCACTTTAGGTTGGGTTTTTTTTTTCCCCCACTATCAGTAGTGGAATTCCAGCACTAAGCTGCAGCTCTTTAGCAGTAGTGCACTAAGCAGAGGTTGGAGTGTTAGAGGAAAGGTAAATCCAGCCAACAACAGTGAAATAGCTTTTACCATGAATGCCTGCTGCAGATGTTCAGAATAAAGTGGTCAGGCACAACAAAAACTGCTCAGATCTTACAGTACACAGGTCCACATGCAGCTGTACCAGCAGCAGCGGAGTGAAGAATCATCTTGGGTGTGTCCTACAAAACTTGGGCAAAAGGGTCTCTGAACAAACCCTGTTATAGGCAAACCCCAAGTGCAAACCAGCCTAGTGTCATCGCTGCAATGTAAAAGCAAAGACATCAATGATTTTATGCTGGAACAGGTTGAGAAAATAAAAAGCATTTGTCCATTGTAGGACTGCCTGGTAGGGAGAAGCTCTGCACCCTACATCTGGCAGGTGAGATATGGGTCAGGATGACCAGGGGGATGGGCTGGAGCTCAGCAGGAGCATCAAAACCAAACTGATGTCAAGTAAGGTGGTCCCTTCAGTATCAGCAAGGCTCTTACATGCTGCCTGAACTTTGAGGGCTGATAGAGCCTCCTTATTACAGCTTTTGGGTTTGAGATGCCTCAATTCTGTGTCCAATCTCATGACACTCACACAACTATATCATAATAAAAAGGGTTTCAGCTGTTCATATGGCCCAAGAAAAGGCCTAATTTTATCTGTCTGTAAAGTGTTCAATATAATCCTAAAACACCCACCTTTTTGCCTTTGAATTGGAGCATTGATGTTGCTTTGACTTCTGCCTCCTGGTATAGCATTAGGAAAGAAAAGAGAGCCAATTTTCAAAACATTTTCTGTTGCAAATTTATATAACTTCACAAAATAATATTGCTAGACAACTTAGAGCACTAGTTTACAGATCTGTAAGCTTTTTAGCAGCAGTCCAAAATTATTGTCTCCCAATATTGCCCGACTTTGGAGGAGCCTTGCCAGTTTCTATCAGCCAGGAAATCTGTTCCTTGGGCTCATTCACAGAACATTCTGAGCATCTTTGGCAAAACATTTGGCTTGAGGAAAAGAAGAAGTAGTCACTCTGAAATGAACTCCAAAGTAAGTAGATAGGCAACAGTAAGCAAAATTCTACAGCAAATTCATTTTCGTGTGGGTGAACCGGCACCAAAACATTCACAGCCTGACATTTTAACATCCTCATGCCCCTAACACAAAGCAAAAGAAAAAATCTTGTTTTCTCACCCCAAGGTCCTCGCTTCTAGCTGCCCTTTCACACCAGAGCTTTCAGCATCTTTACGCACACATCTCCCCCACAGCATTTAGCTTCAGTTCTCCTTCCCTCTGGCTCCTTCTGCCCTTACAGAGGGTCAGAGAAGAATTACTCTGATCTCCAAAAGGTCCAAGGAGCATCACCTACAAGAAAACAAGCAGCATCACAATTCACCTCACTCTAACACTATCACAGAGCACAAAATAAAGTAATCAGAGATGCCTCTCTGTTGGTTTGCTTTACAAATTACTGTGCATAGCCGTGGCAAAAACAGCAGTGCCACCAACCACCATAGTTCAGGAGTTTTTTTGGCCCACATTTTTCAGCTGTAAGCCATCAGCTGATCAGGAGTATTTACTTATCAATAGGACCTGTTAAACAATAACCTTAAGAAGCTCCTAGTGACACCACACAAAAAAAAAATTGTGAAGGGATTTCACCTGCTCTATATCACTTCTCACCTTCCAAAAATAATGTGGCTTTAATGACTCCTGCTCAGTGGGGCTCTTTGCTGCCCACTGCCAGTTACACTCTGGTTTTTTACAGGTGCCCCATACAAAGAGAAGGATGATTTCTTGCTCAGACAAAACGAGATGTACAGCGCTTTGGCAGAGCTGTTTCACAGGGTACCTGCACAGCAGAAATGCCCCCCAGAACAACCCACCAGCAGCCCGTCTCCATCCCCAGGGTCTGACACCTCCCTGACCCCCTCCCTGGGCAGTCCTGGGGCTTTGGGCACAGCCTCCTTGCCTCCGGCCTCTTTCCTGCCTTGTGGAAGGGAAAAAAAAATATCACGGAACAGAGTCGAGCTTCCTTTTGTTTGCCTCCCCCAGCATCCCTGAGTCACCGGTGAGGGTGCGTGGTGCCTGCGGTGACACACCGAGCCCAGCACCGCGCCGGGATCGCACGGAGCGCGGGAGGCGGCCCCGTACAAACAAGTCATGGTTGTTTTCCTTGCGTTACAACGTGATCCTCACCAAGCAACACAAAGCACGCTCTCCACCTCTCTGTTCCAGGCCCACGTTGCTCTCCAGGGTACCGAATCCGTGCCAGTCTGTCAGCAGTGTCCCACGGCCATTCCCCATCTGGGCTTACCACTTCCCACAGGGACGCTGCTGGACCCTCGCTCTGCTGGCCGTGTGTCACTGCTCCATCGCAGCACAGGAGCACCTCACTGACCCCGCTGGGGAGGAGCCAGGTACCCGAGGGTTTGCCACCCACACAGGGTATAAACACAGCCCCATCATCCTGCATTCACAAAGCTCTTCTGGAAACCTTGAAACAACTCTCAGAGAGCCCTGTGTACCTCACGCTTGCTTCAGATACTATAAAAAATAAGTAAAATGTTTATAAGGTATCTGCTGTTGGCTTTTGATAGCCTGTTTCTCCAGCACAGATAGAAAGAATAAAGGGAGCTCTACAGGGAAGAGATTGCACTGAGGATTATTTCTAAATCACTGATCAGTGAAGGAAATAAAGGGCCTTAGAGCTTGTTGCTCACTTAAAGCAAACAAACAAACAAAAAAGATCATTGACTTTATTGGGACTCCTCTAGGCAAAGCATTTATCTAAAGTACAATATATTTTTATTGTTCCACTGGAAGCTGGATGCAAATATTTATAAATCTTCCTTTGAGGAGGTTAGCACTCAGCTGTTTTAAATTGCTTTGTGCTATATATGTGAAAATATATGTCTAATTGTGTCAGGAACTTACGCATTACTGAGGAACTCGCTGCGGCAGCACTGGACAATCTAGACCAGTGAAGAGCTTTTTTTATTTTCAGCACATCAGTCTCAGGACATTGTTAGACAATGGAGACAGGATGTTAACAGCTCGTTGATCTACAGGGAATGCCAGGGAGGTGGAGTATTACAGAATAACATAAAACCATCTCAGCCTAGATTTCAGCTAATCATACATAGAACAACACATATTGACAAGTATTCTATCTAATCTTATAAAACACACGTAATGGTAGTTAAAACAAAGACTGGTTCATAAGAGACAAAGAACAGAGCTCTATTAATGCTAACTTTTTAAAGATATACATTAAATAACTTTGTTGCCATCTATAAGCCAATTCTACAGAGGCTTATTGTTATTTGTCACGTATGCTCTACTGCTTGGGAAACTTTTCTGCTGTATTTGCAATGCTAACAAAACTTCAGTCTGAGGCCTATACTTTTAAAACCATTTCCTAAAAACCCTCTAACTTTATGGATTCCAACAGCTTTGTGTGCTACAAAAATCTTTAAACCAGACATCCCTCACATTTAAAAGATGCCTGCAGAGAGGCATGGGCCCACATTTGGAAAACACCACATGTCCTCATGGATGAAGCCACCCTCCCCAACAGGAGGCTGAGGGTGAATTGCCCTGCAGCAGACCCTCAGTGATGGTGCGTGGACGAGGATCCACTGGGTCTGGACCAGCCCTGAAAGGGCAGAGCAGAGCTGGCATCAGTGGAATCCCCTGGAGCAGGGGGAAGCAGCTCCCCAACCCAGGTGCATTGGGTGTTCTGCCAGGCAGAAACACAGGGGCTCAAGGACACTGCAGCCTGGTGGGGTTAGCTGCTGGCCATGCTAACAGGAACAGAGTTCCCTCATTCAAAACTCATTCAGGTATCTCTGCACTCACCATGCTCTCTTTGGGACTACAAAGCCAGCCCACTGTTGGTAACGTGCAGCTGTGCTAAGGCAGTGGCAGACCCAGGCTGCAAGTGAGGTAAGGAGTGCAGGAAGGTTTTATCTTATGTTGTAACAGCTGATATGTTGGAACAACTGGACAAACTCTGACCCAGAAAGGGTTTGGATATCCTACAACTTGTCTTTTTTGCAGTTGTGTTAATTTATCACCAAGGATGGAGCCTGCAGAGGCTGTGGAGAGCACACAGGGCTGGCATGCGATCTGCTTGGTGCTGCTTGGCTGCACTGAACTGAAATCAGTGGCACTGGGGCAGTACAGCTCACTGTTCAGGCCACACAGTAATTTATAGGTGTCTTTTGAAACCATTTTCTCTTGTACACTGAAGGAAATATTCTCTGTCTCTTCCAGTACAGGAATTAGGGGCAGAAATTGAAGGCTGCTTCATAGTGAAGCCCAGCTTCAAAACAAGCAAAAGCAAGTTGTTCTTCAGAGAGCAGATAGCCTTATGGGACCCCTTGCTGATGATGTTTTGCATGCTAAAAGTCTGCATGCATTCAGGAGGAAGCAGGAGAAGTTCCTGGGAAAGGAAACTACAGAATGTTGCTACATGCACACTGCAAACCATGTTTAGCTCAGGAAGCCCTGAGCTGAAAATGGTTGGAGGCTGCAGAAGTATCTGATGTATCTGTTTTCTTCTTGCTTTTCTCTGCACACCCATTTATGATGCCCTTCAGAAACAGAGTGCTGGGATGGATGGACCTATGACCAGGAGTGGTATTTCCAGATTTGTGGTTTTTAAATCAAGCCACCCTGATCCAAGTCGTCTTTACACCAGTATGACAGTGTCTGTACATTGGGACAAAAATAAACTACGTGGGACCCATGAAAAGGAAGAGCTGAAGGATGCAGGAATCTAAAACAAGAAGTGAGAAGAGAAGCCAGCTCCCAGGAGCAGCCATGCCACAGAATGCAAAGTTTTCTCTTTGCATTGGATGATACCCTGGCCCTTACCTTTCTTCCCAGGGCCCTGATGAGGACAACTGCAGCTGACCCCAGCTCCTGGGCCATGATGGTCACAGTCCCCTCACCAGCCCACAAGGAAAGCCATCTGCAGGGACATAAAAACACAGAAAGAAAAGGAGCAATTCCATTTTGGTCTAGGGTCTCACCACTCCCACTCCTCACAGGCAACTCTTTTTCTTTGCACTGGGCATTTTGTACATGTTTGTCTGGGAGAACCTGCCCTGGGGGAAGGAGCAGAGGGGTACAGGTGTGTGGAGTCCAGCCACACAGCTAATCCTCAGCCATAAACATGGGCAAAATAAAGTATCAGGCTGCTTTCTCTTTTTTTTCTTTTTTTTCTTTTTTTTTTCCCATCTTTTGAAACTGGCAACAAGAAGTGTTTTCCACTTCTTCTGTTCCCTGTGTTGCTGCTGCTTCCACTGAGCTCTCCATACCTCGGCTCTGCAGGGTAGCAGTGCACATGCCCCATCTGGAGGCACTAAAGGAAGAATTGTTTGGCCAGCATCACTCTGAGGACGTCTGTCCTGCCCAGGGAGGCTCAGCAGGAGCACTGGAACCTCCTGGCCTGTTCCCATGGGCAGGGAAGGCTCAGAAGCAGGAGTTGCTGGGAGCTACTGGTGCCCATGTTCGGCAGCAGCCCAATGGTCCCAGCATGGGCACATTTGAAACATTTTGGCCTTTCAGGAATAAGAATAACAGTGATTAAATGTAAACCAGCATGTGGACATGTCCAAATACTGCTGGCCTGAAGGGTGTAACATAGGAAGCCAGCAAATGTGTGTCTGGTGTCAGAGCAGCACAGGTCTGTCCCTGCACCACAGCGAGTCTCACCAAGGGCACCGAGCGTGAGCGAA